TGGCTGCTTATGTGCTCTTCAGCTAGGAGTTCAGTGCCTTAACACTACACTGCCTGCTGGCCCCTCAACGGCTTTTTAAAAGCTTGGTTCTGGTAGGGGAGAGGCTGAAAAACACTGACAGAAAATGAGGTGCCTTGGGGGCCAGCAGGTGGTATGGTTGTAAAGGCCCTGGACTCCCACATGGCCAACTGTAGTTTGAGTCCCAGACCTGGTGGCTTGCCATCTCACTTTTCCTCTCTCTCTCTCTGTCTGTCTCTCTCAGGCTCTCTCCAGTGAGTGTATGTGCCCTACAGCAAACTGAAAAATAACAATAATGATAAATAAAATAAAATAAATAATTCTTAAGAAAATGAGGTACCTCAGGTTGGTACCATAGTCTACTGGTTAAGGAAGCCAGATTCCCACATGGCCGAATGTGGCTAGAATCTCTTCCCTAGTGGCTTTAATGCCACCCCAGATCCATGGGTATGTGTCCCAAATTCCAATAGGATGGAGAAATGGAGAAGGGACTGTAATGTTACCACATGCTACTTGGGGGGGGGGGGGTTAGTTTCTCCTTTTCTCTGTTTCTCTCTGGTGAGCACACAAACCCTCTGGTAACTTAAAAAATAAAGAAGAAAAATGAGGTGCTTATCCTAACTTTACTCAAAGTTCTGTCAGAGTACTACTTCAAAAAGGCCACTAGACTGGCCCTCCACTTTCGAACTCTATCATTCGAGTGAGATACTCTCATGATGCCTGGTTTTCATAATATAGACCAGGCATTTTCATGAAGTTTAGTGCCCACAAGGACAGCCAGGGACCCTCTTCCTCAATCACATGCTAAACCTACTATGTGCTGGTGAGAGCAAAAACCATCAGCACTAAGACATCCCCAAAGTGATCAAGGTGGGCTGTGTGGACATTTCCACTCTGAGGCACAGTAATAGGATGTACCAAATGACAACCTCATGAGGTTGAAAAAATAAAAAAGCAGCTATACCTTAAAGAAATTAGGTCAGGCCTAATGAGAATCAGCTGTTAGGCTTTGCTTACTATATCCTATTCTCTCTGCTTGTTTTTCTTGGAAACCGGTAATCATAAGCACATTTGCTTCAAAGAGATGAATGAAGAAAAAGGAAATAGAAAATAATATATTTCTTCTTATGTGTTCCCTAAGGTAGACCCATCATAACACAGATTCAGAAAGAAAAATCAATAAGAAGGTTTTCCTCTATATTATCTATAGTTTTCTCCCCGCTTTGAAATAGAAATCATTATTCCCTATAGAAGCATCTCTAAGTAAAATATCCATTATTCTCTCCAGGGAAGCAAGAGGGCTAAAGAGGACCAACCACCACTACAGACCACAGCAGAGAAGGACGAGCTGGGTCCATGCTTCATCCTCCACCCTATCCAACTCCTCTACTCCCAATTTTTTCTTTTTTTCTTCTTGCCTTCCTGTACTTCTTCCTGGCGAAGGGATGCACAGGGATGCCTGCTTTATTGCTGGAAAAATCAGAGACAGAGCTGCAGAAATGGTTTGGTTTTCCTCTGAAATTTCAAAATCTTTCAGGTCAGAACCTGAACCTTGAAAAAAGGGAAATCTTTAAAAATAGCTTCAATCACCTTCCATGTTCACAAATTAATATTCAGCTCTGAGAGTTTTTTTTTTTTTCCCCATTTTGAACAACGAAGAACTATGGAACAAAAGAAGAAATGAGGACAAATTTAGATCACAACAAACTTCATTGCTGCTTGCTATTTGGGGATGTTATTGCTAATTTAGTAAACAGAAGGGGGATTATCATAAATTAATAAAGATTGCAAAGCTGGCTATGAGGGAAAATCCAAATGCTTGGCTTACTTGTTCTCTATCAGCATTTCCCACCCTTCTACTTAAGAGTTTAGAAAATTCACCCATTCTTTCATTCATTCCTTCATGTCATAAACATCACCAGATGGATATATTAACTAGAGAGGAAAGATGTGTACACGGGATTATGAAAACAAATATGGTAAACATGAATGGATCACATCACTTAGGAAAACCATCAGTAGTTTGCCTTTAAAGCATCTTTACTATTATTTTTGCTTTTAAAACTCAGCTTGACTTGGTGATGGAATAACTGTAAACTGCTGAGTAGTTTCCTATCCTATTCTTGATTCATGAAAAAACAGAAGGGCCTTATCTCTATAGCTCTGACATTCTCTTTCCCATTTTGTTCAACTCAGTAAATATTTCCACTGCATGTGAACACCAGTTAGTGATCCTCCAACTTGTCCTGGGCGAGCATAGGAGGCTTCTTTGCAGTCCCCTGCACCTACCTTTTCACGACCAACTGACTTCTGTGAGAGAGTGATAGGAAATTACACCTTTCTCCTGGTTATCTTACCCATCTTCTGGTGGGCCCAGGGATGAAGGAATGTAAGACTTGGGAAAGGCTCATCCCAGCCTCCAGGATCATTTATTTGCTCCCATGTAGGCTTCCCTCCTCATTGCCATTGGGGCCACGTGAAGGACCACCATATGGCTCCATCCGGCCCCATATGGCTCCATCTCCCTAAAAGGGGCGCTCAAGAACATAAAAATGCCGCTGTATACTTTTATTGCAGCCCCTTCTCATTTTCCTCCATCTGTCTTCCATATGGTTTATGAACTCTGTGAGGCTCTCGCACACACAGACCTTTGATAATGAGGGTTGCCAACCTGACCAAGATAAAAGCTGGAATTCACCTCTGTCACTGACGAGGGGCTTATGTTACATATCTGATTTATTTAATATTGAAACTATTAATAGCCACTTTCCTCCAATTTGCCCCTCTGATTTATTTCAGTTTGTATTCTTGTATTTATATTAATTCAATAAACAAAATCCACATGTGCTGTATCTGAAGCTTAGAAGAGCCACATGCACCTTCTACTCCTCTGTTATCTATGTATCAGTCCCTCTTTCCAAAGTTGACTTTTAAATTTTTATAAAATTCTCCTCTGATGAGAGGAAGGTTGTTGTCAATTCCTCCCTCCAATGTCTCTGAAGGTTCATGTGTTTTCCTCTCAGACTCTAAGGAAATGAGCGGGAATCAAGTGAAGCCAACCCAACTGCCCAACCTTGGCTGGTGCTATGATGGTCAAGCCACTGAGTCCTGGCCCTCTGTGCTTTGTGAACATATGGCTCAAGTGACATATTTGATGCCAGGGTTGGTATAACTGAGAAAAAAGTGGAATAAAAGTCACCGGACACCATTTGTATCACCACATCCCAACAGGAGGCAATTCCTGGCATTAGTAACTTATAATAAGGGTGATATGTCATTTTCCGTGTTAAGTAGCAGGAACTTGGTAGGGAGCACCTGGGCCATTCGTCTTAAAAGTAAAGAGAATATAAACTAATGACAATTAGCAAGAAAGAGGAAAGAAATGGAGCTAGACCATGCTAAGCTTTAGTAACTTCTGTGCTTGATAATCCGATCGGACACAAAGTCTTGTGTCCCAGTAGAACTGTGCTGTTCAGAAGAAAGCATTCAGCCCCTTTTGCACAATTATTGAAAGAATTATTGCATGATTCTTGCATGGTAAAAACCTCTGCCACCTTAAGCATCCTTTTCATGATGGATGACTTGCCTGTATTCTATCCAAACCACCTGTGTAAAGTTGTCTGGTAATCAGAACATGGAAAATTAGGCCCAGTTCCCTGGTGAGGGTTTCTGATGATGCAGAACATAGGAATAGTGTTCAAATGCATAAAATATTGATCTATAGACTATAAAACCACCCAGCCAGTAGCAAAAGAATGTTTTCCTTTTAACTTATTTTTGTATATATAGATGACAATTATTAAATGTTCTCCAAACATATGCAAAATAAGGTATTTATTTGAATGTAGAGATCAAACAATAATATTATTATAGGCATGATTGGGTCACTTGTTTTTTATAACTCGTCAACATAGTTCATACATTCTTGTTTCTCTTATTGTCCTTTAAGGTACAACACAGACTCTGACACATTATGTTTAGACAAAACTTCTGAGGTTCAAGGAAACTTTTGCTCCCACTCAATCTGTTATTGCACAATTCTTGCATCGTAAAATTCTCAGTAGTTACTCAGTAGTTACTCTGCACTAATCCAACCTAAACTACCTTTTCTTGCTATAATCAACATACACTTTGAAGTGTGGGTATCAAAGATGCTAGGATAGCAGCAAGAAATGCAGTTAGTTGGAGGATCAGGTTACAAAATTCAGGCTACCACCAGAGGCCTATCCACTGCAATAATTGTTCCAGGCTGCAAGAAGTCACAAATTTTGGTGAAGAGAAGCAAATACTCTCCCTGTGTGATAAAGGAAGCGATGGGTAAATCATTTTGTACATGGAGTAGTAGTGTTTTCAACAGTGCATGGATGAAAACGCTAAAAGGTTATTTCGCTCTCAGACTAAACAAAAAGGACAAGTCAGATCAATAGGCTTCAGCGAATTACAATTTCTGGCCTGAAAAGCCGTATTATTTTCTAACCCCCAGGGCCGGCTCTGAGCAGGCAGTTTGTAAACCACTTGGAAAGGACAGAAGTTGCTGCTAAGCAAGTAGCTGCTGAGTAGTAGCCCGAATTGTTGACATTTCGGCAGGGAGGCTTCTCCCCCAGCTCAGCACTTCCTATTTGCCAGGTAAATGCCTGCTAACCTCCACCCCTTGTGTTTCTTTCCACTGAACATGGGCTATTGAATGCTGGCCTCTTGCCAACTACCTTTAGGTGAGATGTGGTAAAAACTGCCAAAGAAACGAGCACATCTGCCTTGGGATCCTTTTCTTTTACCGCGATTCCCCAGGCAGCTGTGTGGGGTCCACATGTGTCCATTTACTGGATTTAAACACACAGTGCAAGGCCATGGGGGAGGCACACAAAGCACAGCTGTGGCAGCCCGCCTGGGTCTCAGCTAGCCCTGGGAGCCTCTCCCCTCAGGATCGTGACAAGGGCATCGGCAGCTGTGAGGCTGGAGGCGGGAGACTCCCTGTGCCTTACCTGTTTCTTTGTCCTGGACTTCTTCCAGGTGCAAGTCATTGAGAAGGTGCTCCAGAATCTTCTCCGGGGTCCCGGATACCACCACGTATCTGTCAGAGAGCAGAGAGTCCACCGAATCATCCTCGGTAGAAGACTGCGAGCGGCTGCTCCACTCATCGTCCTCATCCTCCTCGTCGATGTATTTGAAATAAGGCACATCGAAGGTAGGCAAGGGCAGCTCTCGGTCTGAGAGCGCCCGGGAATCTTTCCTCTCTAAATGAGGGTCAAAGACCCTCAGCCGGGAGCTGCCCATTGTGAACAGTTACTAACAAAGGCATCCCCTAAATGCTAAAAGATCTTGCCATCCCTGTCCTTTCACTGGGAACTGAGTCCATCTGGCTGCTAAGAGCTCTGCAGTCAGCTAGAACGCTGGAGAGGCGGAGAGAAAAGAGGGAGGGAGGGTAGAGGAGGCAGAGAGAGCGAGGGAGCTGGAACAGGAGAAGGGAAGGCAGGCAGGGAGAAGGAAACAAGCGCTGGCTCGTGCCTCTGTGGCTGCAGGGGAAACTCTCACCTCCAATCGCTCTCCGCACTCCCCGCGGTGGGGGCTGGGCCACAGCACTGCACTTTCTTCAGCACCAGGACGCTCCGGTCTTGCTCTTTAACCTGAACAGTCGTCACTTCATCATCTTGCTTTAATTGTGAATGGGAGTGATGGATGGGAAAAGAAAAAGGGGAGAGAAATTTGAAAAGGGAAGAAAAAAAGGAGCAACCTCAAGCTGCATTTTCTAGAGTTACTTTGCAGCATTGTTTCTTTCTGGATTTGGAAAAAATTAGGAAGAGTCCCCCTTTAATAAATGGAATCCAGGATCCAGTGCTACAAAAACAGAATGTGATCAAAAGACAAATACTTTAAAAGAAATAGAAAAAAAAAAAGTGGGATTCAGGGTTATTTTTAAAAGTACCTGTACGACTTGCATTAGGGAATACAAAGTTCAAACTGAAAAAGTACAATATGCTGATTGCATGTGTACCATATTTTCTTTTACCTGGTTAATGCTTATTAAACACTCTTGAAATTGGAAAGTCATATAAAACACGTTTAAATACTCAAATAAGGAGCAAGTCATATTCAGAGTTCTTGTCAATACCTATCATAGTCATGTACTTCACGGTCTCACTTTGAAAGGTGGGCAAAAAGGCTATCCATTCAATCATTCAGCTCAATTTTGTTTTTCAGATCTGAAATGGCTTTCAAGTGTATCATCTCCTGGTTTGGCCCGAATACAAGCAATGATGGATGTCTCATTTGACTCTCATCTAGGCTGAAATTTGGATGTCATGGGTGACCGCACTGCCTTTCTTCACCTCAGTTCCTTTTTAAAAAGGAGAGAAGGCTGAACCATCATTCATTTCTGCACACACAGCTTCCACAGCCCAGAGCGAGCGTGGCCCGCTGACGTGGCTCTGTCACTGAGGACGGCTCACTGCTGACCCAGCAGAGTGACTCTGAGTGATGAACACTTCCACCATGCAACGTCTAGTAAGCGTAAGGCAGCCCGGGAAAAAAGAACAGCTAGGCGCATGTAAGAAAATCTTGCTTCTGTAGTTCTGAGGGTTTGAGCAAAAGATTAAAGCAAGAAAAGTTGATAGCAAGTCAGTCTCACCTTAAAAATGATGTCACCTCTTTAAAAAAAGAAATATATGCTTGTTTCTGTTACGAACAAGAAATCCTACCTATAATTAGATACAGACTAAAAGGGGATAGCCCTGTCCCCACTGGGTAGAAAGTATCACGTCTACTGTGCCTCATTAATCGAGTCTTTAGACCAATCAGGGACACCGATGTATTTTCTTCACCTTTCATAAGAATAGGAAGGCGCCGATCTTGCCATAATTATGAACCAAATCAATGACAAAACTGTAATTTCAGTTTCTGGCATTCTGATTAATAAGGAAATGTGGCAACCTGATCATTTATGTCCTCCAGATTTTTCTTAAAAACCTGCAATATTGGTCAGTGAAATAGCAATATAATTTCATGATCATTCTTTTTTAATCATGCAGTGGCAAATAATTTTACTATGGAAAACTGATGTATTACATTTCAACAAGGTCAGATGTGCAGTTACTGTGGCAATTAATGTTGGATATTCACTGTTAAACTCCCTCAGGACAGCAGTGTGACTCCTGTAACATGAATACCAATGTGTAACTGCTATCTTTCATTTCTCCAACGGGGTTCTTTTGTTATCCATGCGGTTAAAGTGAAATAAGGTGGCTGGCAAAAGGGGCACATAGTGACAAGAAAAAAAAAAAAAAAGAATGAGGGTCTGGGATGCTGAACACACAGAAATGGGTAAATAATTCTCTTATTTGAAAGGACAAAATCTTCCTCTGGCTTCCTCTAATCATGCACCGACACTCATTTTATATGAGCCTGCTGTCACTCTGAAGTACATTTTACATTCTACGAGCACGTGATATATGGCATTATTAACTTCCACAGGCCACGCACATACATATGGATGGGAAGGGCCTCTCTAATGTCTGTGTAACTAATATGTATTACATGGCTGTGCACACGGCAGCCACACTCTGCTGGGCAGGGGCACGGCTGAATCATATTGATGTACTATCAATAGCATTTTATGTCACTGTGATAGTTTCCATTTTGAAAATCTGTTAAAAATAAAGAGAAAAAGCAGAAACATCAATGCATAAAGGGAGATGTAAGTTATCTAAAATTATCACAAAATATATATATACAATTTATAACAAAAATGTAACAATCCTATATATAATGTGTATATATGTGTGTGTGTATGTGTGTATATGTGTGTATATATATAGGTATATGTGTATAGTTGTGTGTGTGTATGCGTGTGTGTGTGTGTGTATATATATATATATATATATGGTTTTTAAGAAGAAAAGATAAATTAATGCTTCCTGACCCTTGCATCCTTCACTAATTTTTCTTCCTGAAACTGTAGAAGTATCGTTGTTGAGGTTCTGGGCATAAATTTTATCTTGGTGCTTGCTTGTTAAGGGCAAAGTGTTAAGAGAACGAACAATAGGAAATATGTCCAATGACACATAGTTTATGAAATGCAAGCTAAGCATTAAAACACTTCTTGGCAGTCACTCTTTCAACAAGCCATGAGGGCCTCCTTTGGCCAAGGCAGTGTGCTGGACATGAAGAGGACAGCAAAGATGAGTAAGGTGAGCACCCTGCTCCTAACTGGTAACAGGCTCCTAGACAATGTACATCTCACCTGCTGAGCAGCCTAAGATGTGACCAAATATAAGAGACAAGGCAAAAGTAGAACCCAAGAGATTCCACAGTCTCAGATAACTATGGGTGACTGAGAGTGGGAATGCCATTAGCTGGGGGAAAATGTATGGAGGAGCAGTTCTGGTGAGATTGGGGACTCTGGAGTCATGCTGACATTTTAGCATGGAGAAGACAGCATGCTGTAGATTTTGCAGGCAGAGAGAAATAAAGAACTAGGCCTTTGGGCACAGGTTAAGGGTATGGACAAATGTGTAAATTAGTCACGTTTTGGCAGTGGGTGAGACTGGTAAGGGGTAGCAGGAAAGATGCTATTAATAAAAATATGGATATAAAGCAGGGAACAAGGAAGGTGAAGAAGATCACATGACATACCTCTATGTTCTCAGTAGAGTGGAAATTGAGACCAATTCCTGGAATGAAGTGCTTGGGGAGAAGTTGGTGGCCTACAGAGAATATTATTGTAAAAGTGGCTTTAGGGGGGGTTGACAAGTGGCATGGTGGTTAAGGTTCTGGACTCATATGCAGCCAACCTTGATTCAAGTCCTGGACCCTTGGCGGCTGGCTTTCTCTTGCTGGCCAAATTGAATAATAATAATAATAAAGTCAAACAAACAAATAATCTTATTTTTTTTTAAGTGGCTTTAGAGAGTAAAACAGAGGACAAACGAATTGTGAAAAAAGTTTGCCAGGCAGCTTTGTGGACTGTCAAAGCTAGAAAACTTTGATGACTTTCTGCTGAAATGCCTAGAACTTGAGAAGGGAAGAGTGAGCAGAGGTGACAATACCACGATATCATGGAAGGCACATTTCTGGGCAGTCATCAGCACACCATGAAAACAGCTCCTCACCATACTGTGTCTGTCATTAGGGAACCTAATAAGCGGAGGAGGAAGTGACAAATTGGGGAACTGCAAAGGGCTGGGGACAACTCCACACATGAGATAAGGACACAGGCTTCGCTCTAGGAGGTGAATACCGAAGAAGAGCAGTTCTTTTTTTTTTTTTTTTTTTTTTTGGGGGGTTTTTCACTGTTGGGGGGGGGTGCTCG